GGGGGGGGGGGGAAGAAAAAAGTGAGATTAATTTTTCTGTTAACACAGTTAATATTTTATGGCAGTTCAAGAAAGTAAAGCTCGTTTAGAGGAACACACTTGGCCTGATTCTTTGCTGTTCTGGGCATTTGTTTCACTTGGGAAAGGTAAGTAAATGCTACCTCTGCCGAGTGTAACAGCCGAGTAATAAAATGGTTTGGAAGCCATGTGTACGGAGTAAGCAATTACAGGTGGCTCAGGGCATTGGAGAATTGAGTGACATTTTAAGACCTGATCTTTTTTTTTAGCTTGTAACACTCACTGCCTCTGAGCAGATCCTCAGTCCAAACGAGCCCACGGCACTAGAGCAGACTTTATTCCACCAGGAGTAATGATTGTCAGCAATCCCTCTGGTGAACTTCCACTCAACACAGCAAACAGGCACCTGGGAACAACCTCAATAAAAGTGACACACATTGCAGATAATTAAAGCCACATATAAAATGCATGTTGCAGGGAGGTTTTTTTCATAGCACTTGAGAACTCAGAGGCTCACAGAGTTTAAATATTATAAAATGAACAATTTTCATAAGAGCAGTCAAGCGTGTTAGTACAGATAAGTTTATGAAGTATCATCCAATTTTGTACCAGTGGTTGAAAAGGCAAACACAAATTAAAGAAGACTCTTTTGTTACACTAAAACACCATCAAAACCAGTTTAAAATGTTTTCAGGCTGTCTCCAAACAGTTTGCTGTTTGGTGCCTGTTCCAGGCACACCTATATCTTTTTTACCTAGGTATCGGTGATGCTGTAACAGATGCATTAGATGGGAAAGACCATCTCCTATTTGGCTATTTTCCCTACAAAGTGATGAAGTGTCAAAAAAAAATAAAAATGACCAGCCAGTCTCATTTCAGCATGTTATAAATTATATGTGGTGAATACAGTCTATAGCAGAAACTACAGACTCCCAGTAGCAGTCTGTTCTCAACCTAGAGATTTTGTATAGGAGACGTAATCAAAATCCATTAAGAGGTGAAAATTGTACTCCAAATCTTGGCTTATAGCCATCTTGCTCTGATAATTACGAGGGTATTACCAAAAGGCCGGTATCTTCCTGCTCTTTCTTTTAACCTGATGTTACAAAGGCTAAATTTTATGTCCTCTTGGGAAGAAAACTGTTCCTCCAAAGCCTCTAAGGTTGTAAAGAAAAAGTGATAGGTATGTGATCATAATAGCATATGGAAATATGTTGATCTCTTTAGGATCAGTGGATTGTTTAAGAAAGAAAGGAGTTTATCTCAGCTTCACAGCTCCTAAACCACTCTGCTTTCTCTTTCCTTTGTTTATATTGATCTAAGCAAACTGCTGATCTGCTTTAATAAAGCAGCAATATACTTCAGAAGGGATGGTGACCAACTCTAAGTAATTAAATAGACTTATGAATACATGGCTTTAAACGACAAAAGCATTCACTGCAGGATGCTTCCTGCAGCTGTGAAAAGATCGCCAGTGGAGTGCTGGGTTTGTACCGAGATGTAAAAACCACTGGCGCCACATCATGTGGTGTCATTAAGTGTCATTTGGATTAATTCTGGACAAAAGATGCTGATGGGTAAAGAAGCTGCATGACGTTGTAGAAACAGAAAAGCAGAGTTGTTCTGGTGGTTCTGTTTTGGCGTTATATTGTAATAAAAGCAGTTTTGCAGCTTGCTTACCTTTTCTTCAGCCGTCAGTAACAGCTCCTCTCTGCAATGTATGTGTGAAGGTAGTTCTTGTAGCTGTACACACCCACCCAGATGGGTGGTCTGGCAGAATTTGTGTGTGCAATCGCCACACCAAGAAAGCAAAATAACACCGTGTTCCATGTTACAGTACAACTTTCTTATTCAGAAGAAATTCACTCTGTCAGCAATTTCTCACTTCATCACTCTCCCAGGTAGCTCTTCTCCTCTTTTGGTAGATGGAGGAGGAAGAATTCCGCCTTCCCTTGCATTTCCCAGCATCTCATCCACTAAAGTTCAGATGAAGACAGTTGTGCTCAGGGTTGTGCCTTTTTGGAGGGTGAAGCAAGAAGGCAGAGGGAGGAAAAGGAGTCATGGCACAGCGAGAAGCAGAATAGAAAATAAGCAATATATCCCATTGTATTATTCCAATAATTAGTGCTGGGCTAACACCCAGGGATTCAATTCAGGTCCTGATATTAGGTCATTAGTGTGCACCCATAATGACACCCTCAATCCAGAGACCCACAAGCTAAGGTTCAGGTTTGTACAAAGTCCCTAGAACATACTTCAATATCAAGCACTAGTATCCTGCTCTGATTTTCCAGATGCTGTAGCAACAGCATGGCCCAGAATCCACACAGAACAAATTTCTCCAAGACTCTTAAGATTTCAGTGATCAATTCTGTGCCAAATTTTCAATGTCTAATTTCTTAGGCCATATCTGTAGCCTCCCAGTGCTTTCATTTTTCAGTATACACACTTGAAGCAAACACAATAACCACTAATTATACTAATTTCACACTGTATCACATATTTCTAATTTGTTGTTATTGCCTTTCACTCTAGTAGTAGTTACAATTACCAATATATTTGTTCCAAATAGGATGTTTTATACTTCTTACATACACAGTTTATTTTACAGTCTTTGTAATATGGTAGTACGGTTTTGTAATACAGTCTTATTTGCAATCCTTTTTTCCCCTAGATCAACGAGTAAGAAATTTGTGTGATATGGAATTATAAAATTAAGGCCACTTTGGAGTGGTACTTTCAGATGGGGATTTGTGAACAGCATAATCGTAATGCACATGCACACTCCAATTCATGAGTGTGGTGGGAGTTCTCTAAAAGATCTCATTCTGCCTATGCAGAACTGAAATACCGGGCTTTAAACATACCCTGGAGAGATTTTCTTAGCAACTGAGAAGCCTCTGGGAAAACAGAAGAAAGAAAGAAAGAAAGAAAGAAAGAAGATGAAACCTGGCATGTTTACACAGCAGTTGTCACCCACAGCATTCTAGTGCCCTTCACCCAGTGAATCATAAGAAACAGAAGAATTGCTTTTCAGCTCAGAGAGCCATTACGTACAGAGCTGGGTAAGAAAGCCATTGAAGAAAATCGTTAATTGATTGGCCATGATGTAATTTCATAACTTGAAGACAAGGATAACCTGCATTTATGGTAGAAGTTCTTTATTCTGCCAGTCCTCATTTGACACTTAATGGCCTGGTCTGAGCATTTCATTGTCCCACAAAATACACTGAAAGGAAGTGAGCTGGTTTCCTTCCAGCTGTCCTGCGCCTGGAAGCACGCCATGTTCCTATAGAGCTTCCTGCCCAGGAAACTCTTAATTTCTTTGCAACAACCTTTTCTGCAAACTCCCTAGAAGGAAACCTGTATTATCTCTATCACACAGGAAAAGAGGACGAGGCACTGATCAGCTAATGACTTATTTCAGGTCACACGATGTCAGTAGGGGCCCAAACCGATTATTCTCCAAACAGTATTTATCATGGCAATGGTCAGTTCTTTACAAGCCAAGAAATACTAAGATGGGAAAGTGGCCTTTGAATGTTACTCTGATAATATTTGTGGAGTGTTATTGCAAAGATGCAATAGCCACCTCAGCACAAGAGTTGTTAATAACTGCTGAAGAGAAAACAAGAAGCTGTGACACTGTCAAGACGGCGAGCAGTCTTGCTGTGTTACCTTCAGGGAAGTTATTTTGTGTGCCTTCTTAAGTGGAATGTTTTCTTTATGGCACTGGCTGGCTTATTTGTTCTGCAGTTGGTTCAAAGGAAATATGTAATATCTTACTTCTCAGGTAGGCTGAGACAGAGTGATGTTAGGTGTCACAGGGACCCAAACCTGCCTCAGACTGCCAGCTCGCACACCACGGTATTTATGAGGAACAGACACTGGCCCTCAGAGAGATTTTATATAACTTGAGGTAAAAAGCTTTAGATCTCTTTGAAACTCCAAGCTTATTTTAAGTTCTTTTCTGGGTTTTATGAGTTTTAGATGTTCCTCAGAACCCAGGGGCTGATACCGGAGGATGCCAGGCACTGCCATAGTTACAAAAGCCACAGAATGTGTGAACAAATTCAATACAAGGGATGGTTTCTGTAGGAGTGGCACAAAGGTTTTGTTATAGCAAACAGTAAAAACTTCCCACACCATTTAACAGTTAACCAAAATGTCTCTGCAGTGTACTTGGCTGTGTAATTTCTGTTTTCTGTGTATTACAGCATGAAACGCCTAAGTGTGATGTCTGCATACTGTTCTGTTTATTGCTCCCACAACAGGCTGTGGACATTTCCAGGTCACACAATCACACCATAGTGACAGTGCTGGGCCATTAATGGTTTAACCTGCAGCACAAGTTAAAAGTTGGTTAATATAGTTCCATAAATGATAGGAGATAGGTGATCCCTGCTGATCCAATCTAATTCTCTATGAACTTTCTTTCTTAATCTAATGCCATACTAATTCGTGTGTTAAACTAAAGCCTATGGTCAGAATGCATTTTCTTATGCAGTACTTATATGTGTCCCTAGGTAAGAACGGTAAAATGGTAAGATTTTAGTTAAATGATAAGCGATTTTACATTTTAGGTAAGAATGTAAAGCATTCAGTCCTTTCAAACGCAGGATGATTTTGCCTTAGACATTGCACAGTTACAAGCTGCAACCTAAGGCTATATTTATACCATAGCAGAGTCCTGGAAACATTTTATATATGCTATTTTCCCCCTTATGATCTTTGGGGAACAATTTCAAGCAAGGGTTTTGATCTACAATTTGAATAAATAAATAACCTCCGCTTGACTTCAATTAATAATTTCCCTCAGCATTTCACAGTACTGAGCCAGAATAGTTGCTGTCATCCCACAAACAGATACATTGCAACAATCTGTGACAACTTTCAAGCCAAACTGTGGAAAAGTTTTACATCTTAGAAGCACTGGTCGAAACGTGGGCTTGTGGGGAGCCAAAGGTGAGGTGCTTTGCCAGAGTGCGGTCCCAGCGTCGCACACCCACCCCAGGAAAATGGCACGTAGGGGCAAGGGAAGGCACCTGGTGCTAAGACTGCTGAAGAGCAGCAAGCTTCAGGCTGCTCACGCTTCACTTAGTGCTCTTGAAAGGCATTAACGTTGCCTGGGGACGTACATAAGAAAGTTAGTACCGTCTTTTGATGTTTAAATATGAAAGAAGAAAGTTTTTTGATTCCGTTCCTGTTCGCTAGGCTGGATCAGAGATATTGTGAGACTGGAGAACAGATACAACCTTGAAAACTAATTGCGTTGAATCTTAACACTGGAAAATTTTCTTTCAGAAAGGTACTCGTGCAATCTGGGCTATGGGATATTTCTTCTCTGCTTTTGTCATGACACTGCAAATTGATCAGATGAATGTGTGGAGAGGAATTGATTGAGTACTCTCTGTGCTTGGAGGCTCAAACTAATAAGTGACAAACATAAATGCTGTTTCTTGCTAGAAATTGCTGTGTGCAATCCTGCTCAGCCTATGAATATGGTTAAAACCAAAGGGACTTTGCACACTTTCTGCTGCACATCAAGCATAAGCTTACCTCAGCTGGGACCCGTGAGGTTGTTTTAAAGGATCTGCTGGAGTGTAACTTATCTTGGCCCAAACGCTCCAAGAAGGTAGCAGAGCTGTTGAAGAAAAGCAGAATCAAAACACTAGAGAGTCTGAAAAAAGAAGGGTGAATTCACACCAAAAATGAGCCAGAATAAATTGCACAGTAGAGGAATTATTTCTGGCTGGAATTTACTCATACAAAATGAGATCAACTGATTAATTAATTCAAAGTGAATTCCATTTTCTTCTCATTGCTCAATCAGTAAAAGACAAGTCATTTAATTTGGCCCTTGAAGAATCTCCTGATTGCAGGAAAGCAGCATATCAAGCTGGTTTCTTCCCTGATGTCTCCAGGGTGCAGCAAGAACTACAGTCATGCTTTGTGTAAGAGAAAGCTTGCTAGGACACCTTACAGATGCTAGACTACCTTGTTCAGCTCTAGAGTTAAACAGATGATTTCCAGAGCTCAGTCCTAGGTATGTGTGTTCCTAAAGGAAATCATCACAGTCCAAAGCCTATTTTTCTAATTTAACGAAGAATCAGATTCAGATCATGGCATATTCAGGTCTTTCCTGGAATATAATCCCAAAATAGATCAAATTAACTCTCAGATATCTGCAAAGTGTCTGGGCAATCCGAAACAGAAATCATTCACAAGTTCAAGATCTCCTCTGTTAATTCTTTCTGTCTGGAGCCAGGGCTGAACCAGTGGGTAGATGCACACACACAAACAGAGGCCTGATTTTTGGAAACTGAACAAGTTTTTTAGTTCAGGCCCAGAGAGGCATTTATTTGATGGGATTGCAATAGCTGTTTGAAGCATTCCCAGAACCCATTAAGGGCTGAAGAGTGCCCCAGCACTTCAGATTGCAGGCGGTCCAAGCGCTCAGAATGGATAAAAGATTAGAGCTAGCCATCTACATTAAAAAAAAAAAAAAAAGCCAAACCCAACCTAGTCCCACAACAAAACCTGAATGTTCTCATGATCTGATGAGGCTTTTGTGTGCTGTCCTCTCTACATGCTGTTCAGCTGCATTCTTATTTTCCTGTGGGAGGACTGTTCCCTTGGCTACCAGTGCTGGCCTCTAATGGTTAGCATTTGGGCACTCGGAACTAGCAGGATGAAAACATTGCTCTGTTTTTCTTTCATCCCTGCCAGAGCGCAGGGAATACAACTGGACATGTTTCTGGTAGATGATACCACTGCATCGAGTTAGGTGATTTTGCCCTGCTGCACCCTTCCCCTCTGGGTGCTGCCCCAGGACACCTCTGTATTTCTGCTGGCTGCTGCCTTGTCAGAGAAGTGCTGATGGGAGATGAGGTCTGGGGCTTGTTTCTCTGTCCTCCTGTGCAGGAGATAGTACATGCTGCCTTCAGCTGCTCCAGCCAGATGTATTTCTTCTAGCCACATGCAGCAGCAGCAGATCATGAGGCATAACATGCACAGCCAGCCTCCCACTAACAGGAGGGGCAGGTCACAGCAGAGACAGCTGATGCCTGGGAGCTATAATCAGTGTCTCTTAATCTTCTCGGCTTTCTGTATTAAGGACATTGTTGCTTTTGCATTAGAGGAATGAGAATAGTCTTGTCTCCTCTCGAGACCTCAAGGTCCCGCCTTCGTTTGCCATCAAGTGCTCCATGAAACTCTGTTTCATTAAAGCTGCCACATGATGACCTTTCCACAACAACCCGCTCTCTGTAGTCCCTCCGTAGTCTGAGGCTGCTCTCATTTAAATTACCGTTATGCTGAGGGAATCAAATACATCTTTTTCTCCACTTAAGTGCCTGGAGCCAACTAATGTCCTTCTGCAGTCATGAAAAGCAACAAAGGGACCCCGATTCAGAGGGCAAGGTGAGGCTTGCAGTCTCTATGGAAACTGGAGACCAGTCTAATGACAGGGCAGATGAAGAAGCAAGAACACAGGTCCATCAGATGAACAGAAGTCATCGGATCTCAGACAAAAGTTGAGAAAACGAGGCAATAAATGTGGTGAGTGGATGAAGAGTTGTACACCAGGTAGCTGGGAACCTGGTAAGGACCTGCGGTGATTTGTAATCACCATATCCTATGGCACAGCAAAAACAAATACTGACACCACTAATCTGTATTAGGACAAAGAGAGGAAAACTCACAAATACAAAAAGGCTATACTGCTTTTAATTTTTTTCCCCCATGTTTTCTGTTGTGGCTACACCAGATGACAATATGAGCAAATCTGATAATTCAGGAATGTGCCAAGAACATGGAAGTGCTGGAGGTCCAGTGAGTGGGTCCATCAAGAGACAACCAGCCCAGACTGTGACAGCTCACATCTTCCTATTAAACAAATTGAACTCTCCTTTTTATTTCTACAAAGTTCCCCTCAAGAACATGGAAGTGCTGGAGGTCCAGTGAGTGGGTCCATCAAGAGACAACCAGCCCAGACTGTGACAGCTCACATCTTCCTATTAAACAAATTGAACTCTCCTTTTTATTTCTAAATTGTTTACATCTTTCTGTTTTGCAAATGTAGCTATTTCCCAGTGGTCCAATCCTTTCTGATCACCCCACGACCCGGGGCTCTGCTTTTCCTGGTTTGCTCAGGAGGCACCACTTTTGAGCGTGTCCCAGCCTTGTTCAGGGCACAGGAATGCAGGCTCTCCAGCACGTTCAGCCACTGCTCACCAGCTTTCTGTCATGAAAACATCCTTGTGTTTAGATGCAGAAGTCATACTCTTTTCACTCTTGAAGATGGCACAAGGATATTGTGTATGAATGTTCTTCTGGGGAAATCAAATTTTATTGAAGTACGAGTGATATTAGAATGCACCACACTGGGACACTGATGCATATGAATAATGTATGTGCTATATAGAAACCTGGGCAAATTGGGCTAGAAGGGGCCTTGCAGTTATACAGTCTCTTTCTCTGTCCCAAGCCAGAATCATCTCTTTTTATCATATCTGACAGCTATCTGCCCTGTCTAACCTCTACTGGAGCCTTCACAATCGCTGCAGGCAATTTTTTCCTGTGTTTACTGATCTTTCCAACAGAAAGCTCACGATTCCTTCAAGCACCACGAATACAACGAATGAATGCAGTAAAAGGACAATATGCAAGCAAGCAAGAACAAGCCAGCAGCACAGACGTAGGAGTCCTGGCAGTCTAAGGGAAGCCCTACTTGGTTCGAGCATTTATTTAATTCAAGTTGATTACAATAGGGAATTGTCTACCACCAGGTGAAGAACAACAGTTCTTTCTGCGTGCTGGGAAGTGCAGACAAGATATGATTCCTCAGCATCAGAACAGATAACTAGCAAAGGGTCAATGTGAAAATGCAGTTCACTGCAATGAAAGAGAGGCAGAATAAACGAAAGTAGCCTCTTAGAGCAGCACTAAGGATTGGCCCAGATTTATTTTTCAACTGTGTCAAAGTGTAACTGCTCTTCATTCTTATTGTTAGTGCTGTCGTTGCAATAACATGCTAGGAATTAACTGCGTTGTTTATTTATTGGTAAGAAAAGATATTTACCTGCCATGTGATAGGCTTGATAGGCTGCTATTTCCACACCAGTACAAAGATTGCATCAGAAATCTCAGCCAGCTGACTAGTATCTGGAGTTAGAGGAAAGGCAAATCGTGGAAGCCTGCTGCTCCCAGTTTCTGTCCTAGGAGAAGTGCTATAAAGTGCGCTACATCCTGATTTTATTTACAATACTTTTATTTGAAAACGAATGCTCTCCAATGGCTGTGTTCCAGTCCCCCAGAAGAGAGGGCCCGTGGCAGTGTCCATTGCTGGCACAGGCATCCCTGCTCTGTCACCCCCCTGGGAATCACAGCCGAGAGGCAAAAGCTGTTGATCTGACTGAGCAGCCTGAGATGGTTTTCCATCTCTAATCCGGTAAATGTGCCTCTACAGGTTTGTTTGATGAGGTGGAATAGGGAAAAACACATTGTCCTGTGCACAGACAGCTTAATATATCATTTTATTCAGCCAAAAATCTGCATTTCAGATGAAGGAAATCAGAGGAAGCCCAGTGATGACCATGTGAAAACAACTCGCCACCTGCCCAGCTCAGTAGAAACGCTCTTGATGCGACCCAATGACTCGGCCCATTTCCTTTCAAGCACCTTCTTTAGCAAAAGGCCTCAAACCCCTTTCATTGACACAGTTCTCTCAGATTTCCAAGGGATAACACACCAGATCCCATTTCCACACCCTGCCATTTCCTCTCTGCATTAAAACCCTTGAGCTGCCCTTGTCAGATGAGTGCTGCCTTATCCCCTCCCCAGAGGGGCTTAGGTCATACACGGAACTGAATTAATATTTGCTTCACCCCTCCTGTCTCAGGGATCCCAATTTAAAATCCCGAGTGTTAGCTTGGTAGCTCCAGCAAACATTAGGAAGGATTGCCAGAATCCCTGTGGCTCCTCAACTCCTTGTTTTGGACCTCCCAGGTATACAGTCGTGCTCCTGGGGAGCATCTCCCAGCACCGGCTGCTCTCCTCAGATGTAACAAACCGATGGTCCCAGTTGGAGCACCAGGAACAGACCATAGTTTCCATTTAGCTCAACGTCATGATTTATTGATGCAAGTAACAAATGCAGCCTAAAGAAAAGAAAAGCTGCAGAAACACATTGACTCAAAAGAGAAATCAATACCCTTGTATATATTAGAGGGAGCAATCTCCATTAAAAAGCAAAGGGATGAGACAACCTGCTGGCTTTTAACGTGTTTTAGTCTCTGCCTTAAGCCTCTCTCTCAAAAGCTCATGCAAGAGATCAGCCCCAACCACCGGCCCTTACCGACCCCTGGAAACGCACAGGCAATTACCAGAGCCTGCCGGGGAGGCACCTTCCCCAAAAGGACCCGGGAGAGTTGCAAGGAAGAGAAAGATTTAGAAAGATTTTTGCCTCTGAATGGTTGAGAGTGACTAGAAGGTGCAGCGAGGTTCTGTCTGACCATACTGACACAGCACATGTTTGCATTTGTTCACTGAAGAAAATAAAACTACATTGATGGGGTTTGTGATTCCTCTGATTGCCAGGAGACTGAATGGGGCCAGTTCAGATCAAATGAACAATTCTAAGTG